TTGTGGAGATGACGGCATAGATTGTCCCCCTGATGACAGACTGTCCGATGTGGAGTACGGGGACAACATGAAACTCACCATCATCATTGTGTAACGTAATACAGTGAAGTGAACTTTACTGATCGCTGCCAAACTCATATTGCATACAAGCGCATAGTGGGAGGAGGATAGGGATTAGACTTACTTTTAGGGACGGGAAAAGAAAGTGAACCTCTATGGTCAACACACAGAGTAAACAGTTCAACTGTGCAAACTTACTATTTCATGCATTCTGGTTTGATAAGAAGTGACAGCATGATCGCCATTGCCATCGGTTCGCAAACATAACCTTCTGTGTCTTCAACCATGCGGTTACGGAGCTTTTTGGACCCCAATCCGGAAGACCGGAGACACCTACTCTACTTAATTGCTCCGTGCATTTCTCCATATCTCGCCTCCATGTGGCTTGCTTAAATCTGCAACAGCCACTGCGAATAAGGTGCGGTGCGGTAAGCGACTGTCGGACATGCGGAAAATGGGGCTGTTAAGTGAAGATCCATGTAAGTCGCAAGTTTTTCTGGTCAGTTTGGATGACAGTGTCGCCATGTTCGACTGATTTGGTCCAGATACCAACCTCACTCACTGTATAAGTAGTAGAGCAGGTAGAAAAATTTTGCTATATGGGTAGCTATATTTCGCCCGCGGATGCATCACGAAGTGTCAGTACGCAAACAGAAGGCTCGGTTGGCATTTGCCAACTTCATACATCTGTGACACCTTTGCAATATCCGGCTGTCTGTGAAGGGTCGAGTGTATGCTTCAGCAGTTCGTCCAGCGCTGCTTACGGCGCAGACTTGGCCACTACGGGAACAGAATAAAGATAGATTGTCGGTGTTCAAGCATAGCTGTCTACGGCGCGTTGCACGAGTTTGGTGGGAAAATGGGACAAGCAATGCTGATGTTAGTCGCAGAGTTTTAGGTACTCACGGTTAGGCTCCTCAAATGGGGACCTCAGGATCAGCCTAACCCATGGTCAGAAAAACCGAGTGACATGGCTCAGTGTTGTACAAAAGTGGCGATCATGCATCTCAATGCTACTCAATCCTACTCAATACCCTTGCAACCTTATTCTTTCTGATGTCTATAGTTTACCTTGACACGGATGTCAACATTTCACCCTTCCCCCTTCTTTGTTCAAATCGGCAGTCGAAAGGTGGGAACCAAAACCGCTGCAAGAAGGTAAATGACTAATGGTTACTTAAGAGAACTAAAACTGGTACAGTTTGAATGTCAAATTCAACCGATAATGCACTTTATTTGATTAATGAAAAGACAAATTTGCAACATTTTCCTGGACACGCTTTTACTGAGGAAGTCTTTATAAAAGGAGCTAAAACTGAGATTCAGATCATTAAGGAAAGAAGCGGGTGGTGAAAACATATTTAGGCAACTTTTTACTCAAAACATACATCAAGTATTCTGTGTAAACCATCAACCTGGCCAGGTAGGCATGTGCCTCATGAAAACGTTTTTTTCGCAACAACACTGCCATTAACATACTATACACTTCCAGTTGGTCAACGTGGAATGATAGGCGCGCGAAAAAGACGTTCTGGGTTTTGGTTCTTGTATTTTACGATGGAATCACTCATAGAAGCCGAGAGTGAACTTCTCGCCCCATCAGCAAACCGGGCTCGCTACTGGTTTAAAATTTGCTGATTGGAACTTGCGATAAGCGTTTGTTCGAATGGATGTCTTTGACACAGAAAGCTGGAGTTCACTGGTGATATAGGAAAGACGGAAAATAATGGCTAGTTCATGAAGTTTGGATTATGTCTTTGTTTGTTTTTACATAGTTATTGAAGTATTGTATTTCAATCAGTAATTATTACAGTAACTGAGTAATCCATTTATGATGAAAATAGGCAAGAGAAACCAAACACTATTAAGTCAACGAAGCATTGGATTAATAATTGTATAAAACTACAAATGTGAGAACTCCACAAAAATGAAGAACTGGAAATCAGGGATGAACGATAAAAGCTTACCTATACCTTCTCCCACGCCAAGTAGAAACCGCAAAGCAACCAGAGTAGATGTGGAAAATGCAAACCACGGGGTAACAAAGGAGGACAGGGACCAAAGTAGAACAGCTGTCATAAGAACAATGCTACCACCGTACCGTTTAGCCGCACTACCGCCAAGTATCTAAACAAAAGAAAGATTAGAGAACAGAGACTTCTATACAAGCTTACCATACTGCTCATATATCCAACGGAGAAGGCGCTGAGAACCCAGCCGTGCTGATGCAAGTCCCATTTAAAGTGATCTGCTATAGGATTGACGGCTAGTGGCATGATAACTCGATCGGCAGCATTAATGAAGTTAGCCATACAACAGAGAAATGTTACTCGCCATACTCGGGAGCGCTCATCCCGAGGGTAGAAAATGGATCTCATGATGGAATCTGATCAGACAAAGGTCAACGACGATCGGAAAGACATATTCGACCGGAGGACCTAGAACGTGAAAAGATAACTTCTGAAGTGGGTAAGGCGCGGATTAGATAAGAAATACATTGTTTTACCCCATAACCACGTTCCGTATTCAACAATCGAAGGCCTTCCAAGTGTCTATGGAGGAGGGAAGCTACTACAAGTTTCATAACCTTGCACACCATGGTCGTCAGACACCGGTCGGTGGTTGGCTGTAGCCTTACGGAAACCACCCTCGAAAAGTGAATATGACAGCGGTCTTGCCCCCGAAGCATAGTGTACCGCACTGAAGAGGCATCACTCAGTTGCTGTAGAGTTTACGCGATTTCCATAGCGGACGTTCAATTTCAGTTTATACAACCATTAACCATGCACTTNGACGAATTGTCATTTGAAACTTAACCAAATCCTCCATTACCCACATGTTTAATACATCACGTTTTGAGTAGCAACATTTTGCACAGAAAAAAAGGAAACAAAACAAATGGATAGTCAAATGATGATATTTTTATCTGACTCAGTTCCACAAACCCGGTATGACTGATCTGGCTATCAGATCATTTTCTAACGTTTCGTCCACGTTACCCATGTGCTTTGTGGTGGAAGGCGAGGCGGAAGGCCATCGGAGGTTGAGTGA